GCCCAGTGGGACGAGCGCCAGAAGACCCGCGCGGAGGAGACGGAGGCGATCTCCAAGGTGCGGGCGGTGCGGGGTCGAGTTGTGGTGAAGCTTGAGATCTTCAGCGTTCTTCAGCAACAAAAGGACGAAAACTGGGGATGGAACCTGGAAGAACAAGATGTTTGAATGGCCCAAAGTTGTTGAAGGATGGACTAGTGTGACTAGTTTTTGCTTTGCCATGGTTTGCCGATGGTGGAATTTGATGTGTCAATCCGGTCTGTGCATAGTGAAACATTGGGATGACATTTTCCTCACCTTGTGACCTTGATGAGTTTTCCAGGTCGTTACAGGCTTTTTACCGTTTTCTATACAATCGTTTATCATCAAGAAAAGCACGCTGGTTTCCTACCTAAGAAAGCACCACACTACTCCAGTGAAGGAAGAATTTGCCCCAAATTTGATGGTTCAGAGCCCATTTGGGGGTTTCCAATCCATGCTACCCCCAAATCATCCACTTTATTGTGGGCTGCTAGTGCCAACATTGACACTAGTAAGGGGTGGCTCCCAGATTATCAGGGCTAGCTTGTCTCTTGATGTCTTTTGCATTACATCCGAGAATTGCAAGGCCACAAGAGCTCAACTCTTTTAGATTCTTTTAGATTCTTTTAGGCCATTTAACCATCCATAAACCATCCATAAACCATCCATAAAACCATCCAGCTAAACCATCCACAAATGAAGCATGATTTTCCATCAACGGGGTACCATCCATCCAGCGTACCAGGCCGTGGAGATCTTGGACGCGGACGAAGCGCATGAGAACTTCGCCAAGACCTTCAGCTTCCTGCAGGATGACTGGAAAAACGCTGGTGGAGGTTAGGAGGAATTTCTACCAAACACTACCATTATTATAGGGGATTATGCTAATGATAGGGGATTATACTTCGGAAAAAAAACCAAATTTCTAGTGGATAGATGATTATAGGGGATTATACCAACCAATATATTATACTAAGCCTGGTTGATTGATGATAATAGGAAAACTGTACTACCCAATTGGTCGTGGGGATTATCATAATCCATGAACTGGAATCCCGTGCTTATCCAACCAGGATCAAATGGAATGACATTTCGGGTTTAGCAGCCGCTGCTCAATTGAAGGGTGAGGGAAAAGACGTCTAATTGCATTTTTTCGATTTTGGATGCCTCTCAGCATCCAATTTGAGTTTCTTTGAATTTCATTTTTGACATTTTTCGATCCAAATCATTTGATGAAGCCCTGTGGATTGTACCCTCTGGTAATTTAACATAGCTATTGAAAATGGCCAGTTATAGTGGATTTTCCCATTAAAAATGGTGATTTTCCATAGTTGATCCAACTTGATCCAACCATCAAAGACGCCACGTGATGGTCTCCGCCATTGTGGCACCTCCAGGAGTCCGAAGAATCCTCCCGGGTGTCCAAGGCGGCCGCCGCTCTGGCGAAGGCGAGGGATGGCCAAATCATACTCTGGTGATATATATTGTTGACATATTGATGATATTGGCAGTGATGATGATGATGATGATGATGATGATGATGATGAGGGTGAGGATGATGATGACGATGATGATGATGATGATGATGATGAGGGTGAGGATGATGATGACGAGATGATGATGATGATTATATTAGCCATGATGGTGATGATGATGGTGACATGGAGGAATGGAGGAATGGAGGTGGGGGTTGCCACCAAAAATGGCGACACCTGTGGAAAACCATGTTCTCAGCAAAAATTGAGGCAAACAATGTACAAACTGTCGCGCTTTTGCCTTTTCTTGGTCGTTCATTGTAAATGGAACCTGGATTTTCGTCGCGCCCACTGCCTTCAGCGCTCTTAGGCCAAGGATCCTCGCGTTTTGAGCTTGGCGATGCAGATGAAGATTGACAAGTTCACCAACGTCAAGAAGGCACCGACAGCACCAAACTTGACACGACAGATTGCCATTTTAATGAGGAACATGAGGTTTTGAGCCATGAGATGGAACGGGGTACCCTATGGAGGTAATTATACCCAAACATGGGGATGGGTCAAAAGGGTTTGATGTCAAACACTTTACTACGATCAAGATGTGATTTTCAGGTCTCAAAAACTTTGATGATTAGAGACAGGCTTGAAATAGCAGGGTGAAATGAGAGTTCGGATGGGCACTTTGTCAAGTTGCGCGGTTGTGCTCGCTTGCATTTGATCTTTGAAACCATTATCAACCTCCTACCATCCCTGTACATGAAAACCGATGTAAACTTGAACAGCTATCATGACTTTCTGACCCCGAAATCGTGGTGTGGGTTTCAAAAACTCGTTGCTTTCCGCACCTCTGACTGTGAGAAAGGGTTCAGCCAAACCGATCAACCAGCTTAGTGGAGGCCATGGATGACATGGTCTTTGCCCTGAAGAAAGAACAGGCCGATGAGGTGCGGAAATGTAGGGCGACCAAAAAGGCTCAAAGATGAGGCGACCAAACCCTGGTGTTTTGTTTTTTGATGATTTCTGCGAAAATGTAGGGCAAAAATCAGATGGCGAGTTGAGACCCAGCCGAGACCCAAACTTGAGGTGAAGCAGAAGGACTTTTGCGTGGAAGAGTTCCGCAAGAATCAGCTGCAGACAGAGGACAAGACACGTCCTGATGCTCAGAGATTTCTGTTGACGTTGACAGTGACACATGTGACGCATCACTTTTGCTCAGGGTCTTGAAGACTTCATTGCCATGACTCAGAAAACTTTGATCATTTGCTTTCTACCTGAAAGACACTATGAGTAGAATTACCCTGAAGTAATGCCATGATGTTCGAATGCGGTGTTTGGGACTGAAAACAACTCGTATGTTTTGACCAAAAAATCAGGGCCAAAGGGCCCGCCGAAACATTTTTTTCTGATATTTTTGGTGTGATGAAAGTATTTTGTACTAAGACTTACTAAGATACGATTATTGGATTTTCAGATTATTTGGTGTAACAATAGTAACATACAACAATAGAAACACACTACATATATTTTGACAGTAATAAACAATAACAACGCACAACAATAGAAAGATACAACAATAATATACAGTCACAACAGTAGCAATAAAACGAAATAATCATCATAATTAGTATGAATGAATGGAATCGCCAAACCCGAGGGTCCAACTTGGGCAAAGGTACCAAGGAAGCTCTGTTGGCAAAGGAGCAGGTGTGGCATACCCATTCGCTTCCTAACCTGTGCTGGTGTTTTAGCATCCAGACAGAAAGCCCCCCCTAGACACGTAAGGTGGTTCACAACAGGGTTAATTCGGAGTTATGAACGGATATATCTGCAGTGGATGGGTTTATGAAACACAGATAATACTTTGGGGGCTAAGTTTGGCACTTTCCTGCATGGTTCAAACTTGAGGACCCCAAACAATCATGAAAGGCAACCGTGTTCAAACAATTTCAAACATGGGTTTGTCTGAAAATGGGGTTCCTGCAAAATCCGATCGTTTGACACCAGCATTTCCCCCATTAAGATTATCGTTTTGGGTGGAAAACTGTATACTGTCTACTTCATTTTCAGATTGACCCACATCACCCGAATCTGCGGTCGTTGGGTTTTTGGAGGCCATTGATATTGCCAAACCAAAGAGTGACATCGAAACCCTGTGGGAGACCTCAGGGTTCCTGCGCCAATCCGTTTACTGACATCATGGCTATTTCATGAGAAAATTATGATAAACCACTGGATTTGGGGGTGCCGAATTTCAGACCCCAATTGACATTCTAATACTCAACAGCCCAAAAGGAATTCTCTACGGTTAAGATGCCATGATACCAGCCCACTTGTTTTAGGTACCTTTATGCAGAGCGGGCTGAACACTTGGTCAGTCACTTGGAAGCTTACCACCCGAGGCAGGGCGAGATCGCTGACATGAAGAAGCAGCTGCAGTTGGCCGGGCAGAACCGTGAGAAGGACTACTGAAAATAGGGTAGCCCTAAAACCACTGGTGAATCGTCATTTTCCTTGTGAAAATTAATAACTTTACAACCGATTTTTAGACACATCCAGTTGGAAAGTGTATGAAAGCAACCTCAAATCTTAGTGTACCTTGTCCTGCAAGAGCAGCAACCTTGAACTTGCCCCTACATGTTCATTGCTTTTGAACGAAACGTTTGTTGCACCTTGTTCAATTGCTACGAAACTTGGAACATGGGTCTTTGGGGCCTATACCTTAGGTACCACCCTCTAAGACTCTAAGCATTCCCAGCTGCAAACCCAGTTTCCAACCATTTGTACTTGTCAGTCAATCCTTCAGCTGGTATCTAACCATGTGTAGCCGACTTCTGACAAATTCATACAAATTCAATATATATAATTATATATATAATATCTGGATGTCTCCCTCTCTCGATATGTAATGTCCGCTATACAGGCTATGCATTTATAGTAGATATAATAGATGTATCTATTACATACATGCGTACCTTATCTATATATATATGTATATATATATATTTATAAATGACATGCATCATACCCAAGCTACTTGAAACAAACCCTGTGCTTCCCTGTCTGCAGATGTTCAGTCGCCGTGGTTGTTGGAGAACCCAGCTGCACAATCCCATCTACCCAAGGCTTCCAAAAATCATCTGGTTGATGGTTGATGGTTGGTGGTTGATTTGGATCATGATCCCACATAGGAATGAACATATCCAAGATTTGAAACCGCCAACCAGATTTTGTTGGTATCCCAAGGGGATATGCCCCAACCAGTTCAATCCATTTCAATCCCCATTTTTGGCGGTTAAATCGTGGTCTAAATCCCATGATTTAATGGTTATGAATGGTTAATCAATCCCACCAATTCCCATAATGATGAATTTCATTTACCCTCTGGTTATGACTAACATAGCCATAGAAAATCACCATTTTTAAGAGGTAAACCATCTATTTCTATGGGCCATTCTCCATGGCTATGTGAAATAACCAGATGGTAATTTCCCAAGTCCTGTTGGAAACTTCAGATCCGTCATCAGATCGCCTCGAGGAGAACGCCGAGTTCCAGAAGGTCATCGAGGAGCAACGTCAAACCCAGAGCCTGCTGAAGGAGGTGACGCGCCGTAGCGCCGCGTCTTGGGAAGGGTGAAACATGGAGGGTTTTTCCATGTTTTTCCATAGTTAAAATGGGATGTTAAAAATGGAAGTTACACTTGGATGGTCAAGACATGCTCATAGTTGTTGATGTTGACATATGTTACCATGCAGCAATGTGGTAAAGAAAAAACCTAAACCATCCCCAGTATCACCGGAAATGGGTGGTATAAATCTTCCAAAATTGGAGGTTGATTGTTGGGGTTGAGCACATTAATTAGATGTTCAATAGATGACAATAGATGTTCATTCTAAAACTGACCACGCTGCAGTTACCTAGGCTCGAAAATAGAATTCAGTAGCCCAAATTGGTGGTTAGTTAATACCAAGAATTGATTTCGACTTGTAATCTGACTCATTACATTTCATTACCAATCTCTCAAATCTGATCAACCAAAAAATTGCTGTCATAGCCAAAAGGCACTGACCGTCCTGGGCAAGTTCTACAACAAGGCACAGCTGTGGCCGATGGAACTGAATACCGCTCGTTGATGGAGAAGGGTCTCAGGGTACCAATTGTGCTACTTCGAAATCAGTTCCATGCCCTGTGCAACTGTGGCTGTGGGCAAAATGGGTCCTTCCAGAAACTGATGGGGGGACTCCAGAATTTCTCTCTCCCGTCCACCGAACAATTCCACCAAACTGGTCTACTTCAGCAAGGGAAAGTGCTGAGGTCCTGATATTTCCCCACTTTGGAACAGTTGAACATTGAACATATTATATATATATATATTGGTGATAGTCGTACATTTTCGCCAAAAGGTGTTGCTACAATCCGATCTTCACCCTGATCAGCATTTCACTACCCTCAAAACTGCATCAGACATCATAAAACCGATCATAAAACTGCCTTAACTCCACCAGTAACTCCCCTAGATTAAAAAAAACGACCTCGAGAAATGACGCAGGGCGCCTTTCTGCAGGGCAGCCAGCATGCGCCTGAGGTGCCATCTGCACTGCCGGGCCATTGCCGTCATGGAACTGCAGGATTAACCAATGAGGCAGTCATGATCTTAATATATATATATATATACATACACACATATATATATGTATATATAATGGATATTATAATCCGTTGATTAACAAGCTGATGAGAATTAGCCAGTACAATAATTCGACATGGCTTGGTTCCAGCTTGGTCAAGCATTGCAATTCAGGGAACCATGGCATTTTTTTGAGTTTTGCAGGCACCTGGAGGCTTCAAGGATTACAAGGCCAACGGCAAGAGCTTCGGAGCCCGTGGCCCCAGACGTTGGGGTGCGATGAATGTCTGAATGGGGAGTGGGTCAGAAGTGCGCACCAATTGATCCACAAATTGCTCCTTAGTTTTAGTATTCAGCCATCTATGTTTGGGGTAATCGTGAACCCTCAAGATGGTTTGAAAGTTAATGGTGGTAAAATCTGCAGGAAAGCATATTTTTGGATGGTAAAGCACTGTAAAGCACTGTAAAGCCATGGTTTCGCGTAACATTTCCCTCTCAAGTGACACTTGTCAGGGTGGTCTTCAGAACTGCTTCTCCTTACAATTTTTTTTTCGGATGAACTTTAGATTCACTCATTCCCGTGGATTTAAAAGCATTTTATAGCACTGTTCAATGATTTCCCAATTTTTATATTTTTTTTTCCAGATTTTTCCCAGGTTTCTCTGTTTCTTCGCTGTTTTTCTTCCCACCAGGTGATGTCCATGCTGCAGCAGCTGGTGGAAGATGCAAAGGCCATGGAAGCCGAGGCCGTGCGCGCTGAGAACAGTGCCTCGGCAATGGGGAGATGGTGAGGAACTAACAATTGGTGGATCTAATTGGGAACTGAGAACTTTTACACATGATGTCTATATACATGAATGATTATGAATGAGAATAATTGATAGTAGTAATAATGACACTGATAAGAATCATGTATAGATGTATATTTTTATGTATACATGTATACACAAGAGTAGACATGTATAGACATCCGTAATTTATAGTATATAAGTTATATAAGCAAGTGGAGGCACGTAGATAAACGCCCTTTGCGTTTTTGCGCATTTTGGCAAATTTCTGGGGTTGGGGGGCGGAGAGTTGGGGGGAGGGTGGGGGGGGGTGTAATAACGTTCTTGTCGCGTGCTTCTTTAACATGTTCTTGGATCTTCTGACACGCTACAAACATGTTCTTGGAACATCTGGCACGCTCTTGATGCTACGCTTCTAACATGTTCTTGGAACTTCTGACACGCTACTACAACATGTTCTTGGAACTTCTGGCGCGCTACTAACATGTTCTTGGAACTTCTGACACGCTACTAACATGTCCTTGGAGCTTCTGACACGCTTCCAGCATGTTCTTGGAACTTCTGACACGCTACTATAACATGTTCTTGGAACTTCTGACACGCTACTAGCATGTTCTTGGAACTTCTGGCGCGCTCTTGATGCTACGCTTCTAACATGTTCCTGGAACTTCTGACACGCTACTAGCATGTTCTTGGAACATCTGGCACGCTCTTGATGCTACGCTTCTAACATGTTCTTGGAACTTCTGACACGCTACTAGCATGTTCTTGGAACTTCTGGCGCGCTACTAACATGTTCTTGGAACTTCTG